TAGATAAACAAAGGCAAAGATCCCCCGTGTAAACGTTAACAGACTGCCGTCCTTCCCCCCCTCCGCACCTCCGAATAGCACTGTTGGCTATGCACAGCGCGAAAGAAGTTCAACGTACATACATATGGGGCACGTGCTACGAGGGAGCAGCTATGAATGTCGGCACAGCGGCTTGGGTGGCCAATACCACACCCAGCCACGTTTCTGTTCCCAATGATGATGCTTACATACTGCACCAGATATTCATTTCAGGCTCGGTCAACCTAGGGAGGCCTAGGACCGGTTCAGATATTCATCACCAATGTTGGCTGTGAGCGGGTATCGAACTCGGGTCGCAGGGTTCATAGCACAGTGCCCTAACCACTACACTACCACTCCCCACAAATATAGTACTGTATATACGCATATATACACACAAACATTAACAAAGACCATGGTTTAAATTAGGAGTGATATGTGAACGGGACCTGCACAACCCACCACCAACGCACACGGAGCAGTGTGGTAAGCATGGTCAAAATACCCCCAAACAGGCTTTCATCCAGCGGTGGATTAACACAGAGAAAACAGTACAAATTTTTATTACAATAGAATGTTAAAACGTCTGTCATAACATTCTCTAAAACGTCTGTGTCGTAACATTATCTCCTGACACGTAACAACAGTCTCCCCCCATACGTAACAACATTCTCTACCCACATTAAAGGAACCGCATGTAAGAATGAATACTTGTGATGTATTTGCGTTGCATGCCATCGGTGTTGTGCTGCTCTGCCGAAGCTTGCACATCGTGTTGACTATTTTGTCTCCAAAGTTAACACGAGCAAATTGCTTGGCAAGACATATCACAACAGCGTACATATATTTTTTGTAAACATAATTGACTGACAACAATGCAGTTGCTTTAATAAACTAAAACTAAACTCGATAACTAAACTTTTTATTTTACCAGGTAAGGCCCACTGAGCTATGTAGCTCTTTTTCAGAAGCGACCTGGCCACAAATGACAGCTCAAACAAAGTGGCTTGTGATGTGTAAATTGAATGCAGCCAAATGCTGTAAACGCACGTTGATTTTAAATGTGGATGGAGAAAAAAATGCGCAAACTCCAAATATAGAGCAGGCGTCAGGGTCGGGACCGATCCCACGACCTCCTGCATACCAGGCGAAGTAGTTAACATCTCACAACTGCGGCACTCTCTTGCTACTGCGCTTTCAAACGCCTATTTAGCATCAAGTACAATCGCAGTAATTGAGCCACGTGGGGCGTGAACGTGTACACAATTATGCCAGAGTCATTAAAAGTGCCCCAACAGCACTTTAAAAGATTTGCAAAGGTGGCAATGGGGGGTAATGGGGTAATTATACAAATGGCTGCCGCTGTGGTTTGCCGATCTTTCCCCCGCCCCGCACCACCAATGCGCACAGTTGGCTATGTCCGATGCGAAAGAAGTTCAACAGACGTCCGTACAACCTCCTCGGATTCACAGCACGTCGACCCGCTCTGGGGAGGCGTGCGCTCGTGACGAGTTGAGTCTCGCTGGGGGACTGCACACCAAAAAAGAAACCCCATGAAGCTAAATCCGTCGGATTTTTGTTACTTACTTTGACTTATTCCAGCTCTGTGGCATAAAAACGATTGTAACGATTGACACGTGATGAACACTGTTTGCGAGCATACACAGACGTGGTCCCTGTTTGTATGTACGTATGATGGACTTCTTTCCCATCGCAAGCAGCCAACCGTGCTGATCCTGCGCATGAAGAAGCAAAGGAAATTGGATCCCCTCTGATGATAGCACGGTTGGCTACGTACGGTGCGAAAATAGTTCAACACCCATACATGCGACGTCTCCTCGGGTAATTTTCTTAGAGTGGTGGCAGAGCTAGCTACAAGAGTGCCGCGTGTGCATGCCTCGTGATATTACGCTGGCATCACAATTTGAATTAAATTGTAGGGAGTTGTACCTTCAATTGATATGATGGGTGCACGGTAGAAAAGCAACATCGTGGAACCCACAAAGCCAGCAAAAAGGCCTTGTATCACCCTGAGTGATGAGCCCAGAAGAGACACAGACACACACATTGATTTTATAAGGGGATTTATTAACCACTACAGAAAAGGGTGGGGGCAGGGGTGTGGGTGTCTTGAGCTATGCTACGAGGTTATTAGTCCCCCCATCTACCACCATCGGTGTGTCCGAGAGGACATCGGTGTGTCCGAGAGGACATGCCGCTCTCCCGTGTACCGTACTGCACGTCGCCGTTTTACGAGCTGCTCCAGCAAAGCGCGGGCAAAGCGTTCTTTGATAACACGCTCACCTACGGTGCCAGGTCGGACGCAATTCCTCCGCGTAAAACCTGGCCACGGTAAACAGTCTGTTGTTGGCGGTTTAATGGGGATGACGGAAAAAGGCTCCTCCCTCTCCCCACCGGGTGAAACGGGAAAGTCGGTTCTACTGGAGGAGACTCCAGCGTGGTGCACAGCACGCGCTTCTGAATGGGTCGCTGCTGGTCTGTGCAAAGCGATGGTCTCCTCGCCGTCAAATCTGTTGCCGAATCTGCCGAGGGATTTTACTTGGCGATGTTGAAAATAACATCAATGTTTAGCTGATCGGATTCCTCCAGTATTAATAAATATTCTGATTCTGATGTTTTGTTTAACGTCACAAACCTTACTAATTGGCTGTGTCAAGTGGTGGCAGGTTTTAAGACAAGTTTATATTTATGCAATCGAATCCCAAAAAACTCTATTATGGATAATATCGATACTGCTAACCCTGGTAATCTCTCCAAAAGCGTGTGTCAAGAGACAGATGTACTTCGTCGATGTCATGGTCAAATTGACCACTCTATTAGCGTCATAATAAAAAAAAATGGGTTCCTATCACATCATGCATATAAATTACCATGAGAAATCGTACGTAAAGCTCAGTGTCCTGCTCACGCAATCCATTTATTGGTGCACCGAATACCAGCTTCACATTCGGCTCCATCCAAAAGCCAGCCCTCTTTGTAATGTTCAGCTCATGCTCAATAATAAATAACACAAACAAAAACTAAAATCTAGACCTTTAAACTGTGCAAGGATTTTGACCACGTTGGCCGTGGTGGTCACATAACCACCACCGCCAACACCACCATCAAGCTACGAAGAGTGGAGGGCATATGGTCAAGTGTGCACATGATCACCTGCAGCCTGGGCTTGAAGGACAAGGCCTGGGACATTGCGGTTGGGGGGGTTGGGGTGAGGGGTGGTGGCTGGGGGAGGGCATAGCAGCATCAGGACGAGGCTTCGTGACGCAGCTACGCATCCCGTGACACACACCACCACCAACCCCTCAACTCCACCATGAGCATGCGGTCGAGAGGCAGAAAGACAGACAGTGATAGGGAGGGAGGGTGAAAGACTGTTACAGATGGCTCCAGGGAGAGAGACAGTGAAAGGTCACCCGATAGTGAGACAGAGGGCAAGGCAGGGTGGTGGATTGTGGGGCGGCAGGGTGTGGGGTGGAGGGGGTGGCAGTGTCAGGGACAGACCGAGTAAGGTGTACACGTTCCTTAAAACTCTACATTGAAAACTCAATAATTTTTCAACTAATTAAAACGTGTGATGCAATATTATTCATTTTAAATTCAATATAAAACTCACATTTTATAAACCACCAAACAGAAATGAACAACATTACACTTAACAAAACTTGCCTATCAAGCCCCCTTGTTTTTGTGGTTTGTTTATTAATCTTGCAATGGACTTGCCAAGTTAGGGCACTCCACGTACTGGCCACCGCTGATCTAAATCACGATGTACGAGGGTGACTCAAGGTTAACCTTCACCGTCAGTCTGAGAAATTAGTGAGGCGAAGTGAAGCGAATGAAAAGATTGTTTTTCAAGGTGTTTCTATTCTAGTCAGAATAAGTGTGTCCCATCGGTGCCGACATGCATTCATGGCAGAATACGTAAGAATGTGAAGCACGTGATGGCACGGCATTGAGAAGTCGAGGGCATATGGGGGGGTGCCATGTGTCAGGGTCAATATCTACGAGTGTATTTGTGTGCTCACGCGAGCAATTTGTGCATGGCATTCATTCATGTGCACGCCGATGCATCTGCCGCGTGTGTGCACTTACAATACACTTGTGAGTGTGTGTGTGTGTAAGCCACCGTCGTAACGAGCGTCATAATAACGAGTTATTCATGCGGGAGAAAACCGGAGCACTTGGAGAAAACCCACGCATGCAATGGGGCAAAACAGCAGAGACAGATGATCTGAGTCCGCACTTTGCTGGAACACCCTATCCTGGCAAGTCAAGACATGGCACCTAGACGCCCATGAGAAGGGAGGTTGGCAACATTTGCGCGATCCACCAACAACTCGCCTCCATAGAGCTGAATTTAATGCCTTGACGTCTCTCTCCACGTCGTGCTGGGAACTTCTTGAGGAACTGACCTGAAGAAGAACTGAAGAAGCTCCCGGAAATGTGCAATTAAAAAAACGATTAACTATTTTTATTTTACAAGGTAAGGCCCACTGAGCTACAGAGCTCTTATTCAGAAGCGACCTGGCCGCAAATGATAGCCCAATGAAGTGACTTATCATGTGGAAATTTATAGCAGCCAAACACTCTCAACGCATGTTGATCCTAATTGTGGAGGGAAAAACCTGGAGGACCCAGAGAAAAATCCACGTGACCACGGGGAGAACATCCAAACTCCAGATATACAGGCGTCGGGGTCGGGATCGAACCCACGAACTCCAGTATACCAGGCGAGGTAGTTAACATCTCGCCACCGCGGCGGCACACTCAATGACAGACCACCACGCCGAACAACACGCGGCGCAACCCTTCAGCACGTCGGTGAGCTACGCAAGCAGCACAACCGCAGGAAAACAGCGAAATACCGCGCGGTGTGACGTCAGCGTCCCTCGCGAGGTGGCAGACACACACTGGGGGGGGGGGGGGGGGGGGGGGGGGCGGCTCTGTACGCCGTCACTCACCTGTGACGCATGCGGACCGAGCCTCCCTCCACCTGCCCGGCGGGCTGGAACATCTTGTTGCGCTCCACATGCTCCGTGTACGCCTGGATGATCTGCCCACGAAACAAAGATCCCACGGAAAGCCTTAACATACAAATGTGGCAAGCGCTGTTAGCGAGTAAGCATCGATGAAGGCCGGCACAGCACACGAGGGGAAGGATGGCCCAGCACTACGTGGCTCCCACACAGCCATGCGCGGGAGGGCGTGGCATATTTTGGCACCAGCTATCAGAGCGTGGTCGTGTGGCTACGATTCTCTGCAGTGAGGACAATGTCTTTAAAAACAATTACACTACTCCGGTTTAAATAAATTATCGCCGAGCTGCTTGCATGCGTTCCGAGATTCAGAGGTGGATGGGACACTCACCCTGAAACTTGCAGACGTCTTAAAATGGGCAAGGGTTAAATGGTTTCAGAGGCAAGCAAGCTGGGGAGACGAGGAAGGCCAGCCAACTCTTGAACACCTTAAAAGCGGGCAATGTGTCCTGCGTTTATTTGATTAATTCGTGATTACAAATGAAAGTTGTTGTTGTTGTTGCCAAGCTAAGAAGACTGCTCTTAGTTTTTGCCGGTGGCCAAGCGTGCCTCCTGCCTCCGGATCGCACGCAATCGTGAGACGAGGGATGATAGCGCAGCGCGGGTGGGCGCATCGAAGACGAACACACTGTGGGGGGAGGGCTGCGACTAAACTCCGGTTGGGCTCATCAGTCGTCCGACGGATTCCCTGGGGATTTGGGTCATATCCTGGCGGGTGTCAATAGCGGATCGACAGAGGTGATGAAGGCGACAGAAGAAGCGGTCTCTGGCCTGTAAAGTGGGGGGGGGGGGGGGGGGGGGGGGGCAGGGAGGGGAGAAAGGTGCAGGCAATCGCACCTCTGTGTATCTGTGACGCAGCGCGGAGTATTCCTTCTTCAGCTCCGCCTCCCGATCCTCATGCCGCGAGACTGCAGACCACACACCAGAAGGAGTCCCACCGGGCACAGCCTTGTTTATGGACCGTTGGGACAGAATGCGGTTATACAGCAGGCACCTATTTAGCCAGAGACTCGAGGTGATGGTGTGGTCAAGCCAGGCCTGGCGCTCATGTTCACACACTGCAACTGGTTGCTCGTTTAAAGGGCCCTGCACCTGAGCAAATATCACTCGCCACTGATGTTAGCTGTGGCCGGGAGTTTGAACCGAGGTTGGTCGGGTTCATGGCGCAGTGCGCTAACCACTGCGCCACCGCTCCCATTGTAGTATGCAGGACTACGATAATGCCACGCACCTTTCCTGCCAAAGTAAATGCTCACTCGTAGCACTTGCCTTTGCCAGCATGGAGGAGGCCTTCTGTTGGATCCCCAGTCAACCTTTGCCCAGCACAAGGTCGCATTTTCTCCTCTTCTGCCCCCACAATCTGTAACTCCATCCCCTCCCCACCCGTCTATGCTTTCAACTCCTTGCACATCATGAAGTCTAAGCACAAGGCCTTTCTTCTTTACTCTGCCTATGACTGCCTGCCTTCCTCTTCATGAAAAAAAACTATTTCCACTGCTTCTATGCAGCGCCTCGAGACACAAGTCGTATTGATGCGCCGTCATATATCCACACTGTGCTGTGATTATACAAAGTTGGGGCCTCTGTGAGAGTGTTCCTGCATAGGAAGCTGCACTCACTCTGGTCCGAGTAGAACTTGGAGCGGATCTCCATCTGCTTGAGCTGCAGTTCCAGCGTCTCAACCTTCCCCAGGAGGGTGTTGCGATCCTGCTCCAGGGCATCTTCATACTCGATGTACTTCTGCATGCCCAACCAACAAAGGCACAAAGCGCGGCATCAACAGAGCTCACCCACCAAACCACCAACCCATCCACCCATCAACCCACTAAATAACCAACCCACCAATCCACCAATCCAACGACCCACCGACCCACTAACTCACCCACCAACCCTCCAACTCAACAACCCACCAACTCACTCTGGCCACGTTTTGAAATAAATTATTTAATTAATGAAAAAACACAAATGTAATATATATCGTAGCAATAAATGGTGGTATAAATTATGTTGCCTCTATATAAAATGTACACTCATCTGTAAATCCACTGCTGGATGAAGCCCCCACCCCCACACACACCATGTCGGTGATGGGGGTATTGTGTTTGACCATACTACACCATGCTGGTAATTGGGGGGGGATGAGGGACAGGACTGGTTCAGATATCACTCGCCACTGATGTTGGCTGTGGCTAGGGATCTAACTCAGGTGACCGTGTTCTTTTCCAAACACTCTATCCACTGGAGCAAAGATTATGTTGAACTTCTTTCGCACCGTACATATCCAACCGTACCTATTTGTATTTATTTCATCTTTACGTTCAGAGACGAACAAAAGTCTATGTTACCATCCATAATACACGAATAATACATCGATGATTATAAACCTTATCTACAGTGTTATTGTAAAATAAAACACCAAGTATTCTTTGGGTCTTTAGGTAAAGTCACGTAGATAGATACCGAAAGACCCAAAGAATATGAATTCCTGCAGTCACTAAAGCTTTAAGTCAAGATATAAAACACCAACTATCTATGCCAATTTGAATGAATTCCACGAGTGGTTTTGTAACAAAGAGGGCAGAGCATTTGTCACCGAGTCAGAAACGTTCAACAATTTCAATTCCGCAGGTGCCTGAGGCGGAGGTCAACGTGTCTGTGACCGAGTTCCGATAAGTCAATACTTTCAATTCCCATTGCAGCCCAGCGATTTCCGTGGGGCATTCCCAAAGTCGACCGCGGTAAATGAGATGTAAAGTTGATTCAAAATCATCTCCTTGAATAAGGCGAGTGCACACCAGTGTCACAGCCACAAAAATAACCGATTACCAAACGGTATAAATAACTGTGCTCACTTAATTGTGTTTTCCTTTCCAGCCGTCCTTGCAGGCCAACGGACTGCAATCGGCCTTCTCCTGGATTACGAAGGCTGCTCTCTACAGTAACGCACCGCATTCACAACCACCGCACCGGGGAAGTGTGTGTCCGCTCAATAACTAAACTAACACTAAACTAGTTGTTTTATTTTACCAGCGAAGGCCCACTGAGATATACAGCTCGTTTTCATAAGTGGCAAAGCTATTACAAATGATAGCTCAACGAAGTGGCTTATCATCATGTGAAAATGTATATCAGCCAAAATACTCGAAATGCACGTTGATTCTAAATCCACACGACCATGGGGAGAGAGAGAGACGCAATCTCCAACGCTACAGCAGGCATCAGTAAGGTCGGAATCGAACCCAAGACGTCCTGCATACCAGGCGAGGGAGTCACCATCTCCTAGCTATCTTAATGATGAGAGAGAGAAACACGAAACGTCCAAATACACAACAGGCATCATCAGGGTCAGAATCGAACCCACGACGTCCTGCATACCAGGCGAGGGAGTCACCATCTCCTAGCTACCTTGATGATGAGAGAGAGAAACACGCAACATCGAAATACACAACAGGCATCATCAGGGTCAGAATCGAACCCACGACGTCCTGCATACCAGGCGAGGGAGTCACCATCTCCTAGCTACCTTGATGATGAGAGAGAAACACGCAACGTCGAAATACACAACAGGCATCATCAGGGTCAGAATCGAACCTACGACCTCCTGCATAGCAGGCGAGGGAGTCAATATCTCGCCACCAGAGGCCCTTTTAAATTAGATTTTTAATTAAATAAATTTAATTAAATAAATTTAATAAAACCCTTTTTCTTTTTACACAGCATGGCGGCAGTTGGATAAATGCTTTGAGCTCGACCTTGAATTGCAGAAATGCTTTTGCTGAAATTCTTCGTTGAACTGAATTCCGTGATCAGTCTTGCCGACGCCGGTTTTTAGACGAATGCCTTCAAACAATCGCAGTTGGGTTTTTTTTCTTAACTGTCTTGAGAAACGTTGCCAAGTCAAATATTTTACATTCTCACATGTTCTGGGGCGCAAGTGAGTTTTTTGTATGTTTTCTATAAATAAATTATACAAGACAAAAAAGGCTGTCAGTTTGCACACCATGTGATCCGTAGCCTTCTCGCGCGTGTTTCGAAACACGGCACAAAGAACAGCGCGGCCTCTTCCCATGTGATCCATGCGCACGGCGTACACAAACACAACCAACAGGTAACGAAATGTGGGAATTAAACCGAGATGGACATTCAACAAATATGAGTCAACTCGAGGCACTGTAGAATTCCCTGCAACGCAGTTGGGTCCAAAGGTATACAAGGCCTCTACCGAATGGTGTATGTCCGCTCGTAAAACAAGACATTATAGTACAACGCGATGGTAATTCATTACAAATTACGTAATCGCGACTGTCATTTAACCCCGGGGTTGGTCCCTGCTACGAACTTTGCAACTGTTCTCCACCCTGTAGGAATGTTTATTTTTTCACGTTCTTTGATCTCCATTTCGCCTTTTCGCAGCGACCCGTGGGCATCTCCGTAGCTCCACAGGGGTAAGGCAAGGCCTCAGATTGGAACCCCTGTTTTTACACCGTTCCTTCGGCATGCAAACATTTTCCCCAGAAAGCCACTGCAACTACTCGGAAGCCACTGGGGGAGATATGCACGTTTGAAGCTAAATTGAAAAATAATTTGTTTAGAAATTAATTTTGTGTTAAGTTTCTTGTCTTCCCCCCCCCCCACACCTCCGATTAGTACGGTTGGCAATGTATGGTGCGAAAAAAGTTTAACATACATAGAGAACAAAAGGCAAAAGTGCAGAACAGAAATTATTGTATTCACGGCCACTGCTGCCATCAGGGCCTCCACTAGAGGATGCTCTACATAGCCACTCCAGGTCGTGGTTGTGGGGGTCCATTAAATATTGTTGGTGTTATAAATTCCATGTTCATTTTAAACTAAACTATAAACTATGTTTCGATTTAAAGCTTTCGTGACTGCAGAAATTCATCTTCTTGGTTCTTTCGGTAAAGCCACGTAGAAGGGAAATAATAAAATAATAAAAAATATAATAAAATAATTCTCACGACGTTTCGGCCACAACGCAAGCAGCCGTCCTCAGGTGAAACCAGGTCTGTCGAGGCGACAGCGTCTGAATGAAACAGCACACGTGCTTGGCGCATATATATAAGCTGGGTTGGAAGGGGAGGGGGAAAGGGCGCCTTGACAAAGGAATATGCATATCAAGAGGAATTTAGCATATTTATGGGAAATGCAGGTATGTGATTAGTACTACTTATGTCCGTGCATTATGCAGGATTAGCAGCATCCAAGGGAGGGGATATGGGAAATGCAGGTATGTGATTAGTGCTACTTTGCCCGTGCATTATTTGCCCGTGCATTATGCAGGATTAGCAGCATGTTTTATTTTACCAGGTAATACTCACTGAGCTGTGTAGCTCTTCTTTACAGAAGCGATCTGGCCACAAATGAAAGCTCGATGAAGTGGCTTATCACGTGGAACTTTATATCAGCCAAACACTCTAAACGCGTGTTTTTAAACGTGGAGGGAAAAACTGGAGGACCCAGAGAAAAATCCACGCGACCACGGGGAAAGAGGCGTGCAAACTCTAAATAAACAGGCGTCAGGGTCGGGATCGAAACACGACCTCCTGTGTACCAAGTGAGGTGGTTAACATCTTGCCACATGACAGAACAGCGAGTTTAAACCAAACAAACGGTTATTGTCGTGAATAAAAGGCTTCATGGCCGACATCAAACACTGGCACCATGTCTGTTGCTGCAGCCGCCGTCGTAACCGAAGCTAACAAAGATTTCATGATCAATGAAGATGTTGCCTAAAAATGGCTGCGGAATATTTTGTGAAACAAACCATCGCCTTTTCTTTGTACAAGCCATTACGAAAAAATCCGTAGCGAAACATCGCCGTATAATGGACTCATGCGCGACATGCACGAGTCCATTAATAAACATTCTGCCAGAACGCAACGCTGGGGCGAATATCTCTTTGGCAAGGGTGGTTACCGATTTCTATCTCCATCATTGCTATACTTTATTTGTCTTTCCTTAGACTTGGTCATTTTGGTGCACCAAGCCACCATTGCAAACGAGACTCTTCCTGGGGTCTCGCCGAGTTCTCACCGGGTTATAAATTTGAAACTAACAACTTAACGGAACTTATACTGGTAGGAACCTCCTGGTTGCACCAGCCCACAGGGGATTATTGTGTCCATCCGTCCGTCGTGCAGGGAGGGGCTGGGTGGGGAGGGGCTGGGTGGGGAGGGTGGGGCTGGGTCGGGAGGGGAGGGTGGGGAGGGGCTGGGTGGGGAGGGTGGGGAGGAGCTGGGTGGGGGGTGGGAGGGGTGGGGCTGGGTGGGGACGGGCTGGTCACCCCTTGGTGCCCTTATAAAACTCAACATTTAACCTACTCACGCCGGCTTGTGCCCGCCCTCACAGTCGGGCATATTTGCGGAATACACCACGCCGCCGTTGACCCTGGCCATTGACCGAGCAACCCAACGTTCCTACCAGCTCCCTCCGCAGGAATGTGTTTTTTTTTACCAGGTAAAGCTCACTGAGCTACATAGCTCTTTTTCAGAAGTGACCTGACCACAAATGATAGCTCAACGAAGTGGCTGACCATGTGGAAATGTATTGCAGCCAAATATGCTGAATGCAAGTTGTTGATTCTAAATGTGGAGGGTAGAAAAATGGAGGATCCGGAAAACATTCCACACGACCACAGGGAGAACATACACACTCCAAATATGCTGCAGTCAAGGTTGAGATCGAACCCACGACCTCCTGAATATCAGGCGAAGTAGTCA